GAGGACAATAGTCCGAATAATGTAAATAATGTACATAATACCTCATCTCATCTCTGAAATATAGACAGATACTGAAAGGCCGAAACGTTGTAATAAACATGGCGACAAAGATGAGGACAATAGTCCGAATAATGTAAATAATGTACATAATACCTCATCTCAGAAATATAGACAGATACTGAAAGGCCGAAACGTTGTAATAAATATGGCGACAAAGATGAGGACAATAGTCCGAATAATGTAAATAATGTACATAATACCTCATCTCAGAAATATAGACAGATACTGAAAGGCCGAAACGTTGTAATAAACATGGCGACAAAATGATGAGGACAATAGTCCGAATAATGTAAATAATGTACATAATACCTCATCTCAGAAATATAGACAGATACTGAAAGGCCGAAACGTTGTAATAAATATGGCGACAAAGATGAGGACAATAGTCCGAATAATGTAAATAATGTACATAATACCTCATCTCAGAAATATAGACAGATACTGAAAGGCCGAAACGTTGTAATAAATATGGCGACAAAGATGAGGACAATAGTCCGAATAATGTAAATAATGTACATAATACCTCATCTCAGAAATATAGACAGATACTGAAAGGCCGAAACGTTGTAATAAATATAGCGACAAAGATGAGGACAATAGTCCGAATAATGTAAATAATGTACATAATACCTCATCTCAGAAATATAGACAGATACTGAAAGGCCGAAACGTTGTAATAAATATGGCGACAAAGATGAGGACAATAGTCCGAATAATGTAAATAATGTACATAATACCTCATCTCAGAAATATAGACAGATACTGAAAGGCCGAAACGTTGTAATAAATATGGCGACAAAGATGAGGACAATAGTCCGAATAATGTAAATAATGTACATAATACCTCATCTCAGAAATATAGACAGATACTGAAAGGCCGAAACGTTGTAATAAATATCTCAAGCGACAAAGATGAGGACAATAGTCCGAATAATGTAAATAATGTACATAATACCTCATCTCAGAAATATAGACAGATACTGAAAGGCCGAAACGTTGTAATAAATATGGCGACAAAGATGAGGACAATAGTCCGAATAATGTAAATAATGTACATAATACCTCATCTCAGAAATATAGACAGATACTGAAAGGCCGAAACGTTGTAATAAATATGGCGACAAAGATGAGGACAATAGTCCGAATAATGTAAATAATGTACATAATACCTCATCTCAGAAATATAGACAGATACTGAAAGGCCGAAACGTTGTAATAAATATGGCGACAAAGATGAGGACAATAGTCCGAATAATGTAAATAATGTACATAATACCTCATCTCAGAAATATAGACAGATACTGAAAGGCCGAAACGTTGTAATAAATATGGCGACAAAGATGAGGACAATAGTCCGAATAATGTAAATAATGTACATAATAAATCATCTCAGAAATATAGACAGATACTGAAAGGCCGAAACGTTGTAATAAATATGGCGACAAAGATGAGGACAATAGTCCGAATAATGTAAATAATGTACATAATACCTCATCTCAGAAATATAAACAGATAAATCAGTTTTTTCAAATAATTTTGTACTGAGTTTTCTTTTTTTTTTTAGTCTAATTTGGGCTAACAGATTTTTTTCTTTTCTGTTAGAAAAAAATTGCTACATTAAGACCAAATAATAAACGAATGACATTGAATAAAAGAACCTTTTCTTTTCTATTTTTTCTCCAACGCTGATTTGAGTTATTTATTTATTTATTTATTTACACTGCTTACAGTACCTCATATATGTCAACGGTCCGCTATGTAAGTAGAGGTCAGTTTCGATGCTTCTTGTCTTCGGTGATCAGGTGGTAATATGGCTTGATTTAACCGTTGACATTTATCGTATGGGTCATTCATTAAATATCATCAACCATTCGTTTTTAATTCACGCATGCGCACAGATACATTTTGGAAAATAACCGTAATTATATTGAAATAAAGGAATAAAAAGATAAACCAGCTTTTTTTTTTTTTTTTTTTTAAATATTTTCACATTTTTAATTTTTTTTTGTTTGTTTTTTTCTTTCTTTTTTTTTTGTTATACACAGAATGCACAGAACAACATACGGGAATTTGATCCGAATAGTGTTTAATGGGCCAGTCAAACACAAGCCCTCCCCAACCCTACCAAAAAAATGCAATTGTAACTGAGAAGAATGACAAACAAAAAGAAAATTCGAGAAAAAAGAAGACCCCAAAATTAATGAAAATAAAAAAAATATCTGAAAAAAAAAAATAAAGAAGAAAAAAAAAAATAAAGAAAAAAAAAACGATCAAGTGAAAAAAAAATGATTAGACTTTTTCTGACAATAATTTTTAATACTAATGCTACATTTTTTTGTCTGAACTTCTCTGACGAGGCGTTGTTAATATTATACATTGATTCATTTGAACCAGTTTCCTTCTCTTTGTTGTTCACTTCCCACTATTTTTCGGCCGATATACTCTCTTCGTTCCTTCATATTTGAACCTGTGAGATGAAATGTTAATATTATACGTTGATTCATTCAGACTATTTTCCTAAATTTTGTTTTAATCGCAACGTTTCTCGCTCCTGTAACTTTCGACCATCTTAATGTATATTATCGCATTGGTTAACTTTAAAAGAAACAACGTACGTACCAGGATTACATAATCCGATCAGTAGACTCAGCGTAAAGATCAGCCCATATTGTAGCCACTAATTATGAAAGAACGAGCAATTGATTTTGCGCTGAAAAAATTATTGCTACCTGAGTGGATAAACTCAGTTAAAGTCGTGAGTTCGTTCCTTTGGTCAGGTAGTACAGAATTATACACGGGATTAGACATCATAATTGTTCAAAAATTTACTTTGAAGGGACACCGGACGTGAACCCCTCCACCCCGCAGAATAAATAAAGTATTGTATTTAATACTTCGGGATAGGGCCTAACAAATGCGATAAATATCCGTGAAAGGTCGAAAGGTCAGGATAGTAAAAAATCCGAATCAGACAAAGTATAACATTATTATTTTGCCCTCTTCTCGTTCTCTTTTTTTTTTTTTGTGTGTGTGTGTGTGTGTGTGTGTGTGTGTGTGATATATAAATGCTTTAAATCAATAACGTAATGAGGAGAGGGTACATGCTGTAGGTGCCAAAAACTATTTCTTTCGCGGAGTGGGAGGTGTCATTTTAATTAAATCTGGATGCCAACTACTGTAAGTTGTCATATAGTTATTTTCTAGGCTTAACTTAGTCTGGCACAGGGCAACAACAGTGAGGCAAGCAGTGAGAATTGAACTCAATACGCTAGCAAACTGGTCGGCGAGATGAGCTTATTACAAATCGTACGCCACGGTAGGCGACTGTGTTCCGGCCAAGGAGATCTGCTTTTTTTTTTTATCTCACTTTAAATTTGCTTAATCGAATGTTGCGTTCGTTGGATGAAAAAAAAAATCGTCGAAAAAGTGAAAAACAACAGAAAACAATTTAAATTTCAAGTTTAAATTAGAAGAACAATGTATTTTTTATTGCACGTCAGGTTAGTTTACGAGAGTTACTAGTAGCAAAATTGCTGCCTGACGTAAAGCAGTTTTCAGTGAGAATGTGGGTAGCGAGATATGTAGCAGGATTAGAAACAAGACCTATTAAAAGGCGGATGAATCTTCTAGAGTCAACGGTCATCTAGTACAATGGAGTAGACGAGGCCCCCACAACTATCTATGCAGTCAGTGCGGTGATGACGTAGCATCGCAGAGCGGAGGGCTTCCTAGACTGAAGTCAACGATCAAAGGGGTGTGTTCCTTAGGTGGAATTAATGGCTACGTGTCCTTGAGCAAAGTGAAAGTTCAGATTAGAGGACATCGGCTGTAGTTTGACCTTGAGAGGGATGTGCTTCGCCAGGTGTGCTTTCCTAAAACACGTTACACATAAATGAATATCTCTCCGGCTCAGATATGTTGAGTGAAGTAGTCAGGTGTTCAGCTACGCCGCGACCCTACGAGCACATCCGATCATGGGACTGATGAAGTTGTATGACGAATTTATTTTTAAGTTATGATGTCTTTTTTTTCATTGATAAACAATTGTTAAAATAGTGATCCTGTTTCTAACTTCATCAATCATACCTATAAAGTCTTGAAATCTTTATGAAAGTTGAAGCGAAATTGGTGCTTCCAAATGAAATCCAAATTGGGGGTGCGGGTTGCCTCACACTTAACGGCATAAAAATGGTATAGGTGACCCGAGTTCAAATACCAGCTGAGTCAGTTTTCGTTTACACTAATGCTTCTGGCAAAGGTATGAATCCATCTCTTTTCCATCGCCAGAGACGGAAGACATAATAATAAAATAGCAGAGTAGACCGAACAGTAGCCTTGGTTGGCAACCAGTCTAAGGAGAATGACAACTCTGATTTCAAAACCTTGAAGAAGGCAATGGGAAACCGTTCCACAGGTTTTCCCAAGTACATTCATAGCAATACGCAGATGTTAAAGAAGAGAAGGCTGTGGAGAGCTATAACCACCTCCTTCCCGAAGCAACATTTGTTATTGAAGGAGAAGTTGAAAACTCTAGCCAGTTGAAATCTACGCCCTCGATCTTACGGGTTCGTAAAATTTAAATTTAAATACTCGTGTTGATGACTGATTAAGAAGACAAAATGTTTATAAGTCGTAATATTATCCGAATTTACCCGATCAAAAATTTTAGACAAATATTTCTTTCATCTTAATTTTAGTTGTTTTTATATCACAGAGCCTAGTTCAACAGGATTATAAACAAAATCTGTGAAAGGGCAGATAAATCTTCTAAAAAAGGTCAACAGTCATCTAGCACAGTTGGACATAGTGATCTGATAGGCTAGATTGCCTACCCTTTTCTCAACGATGAAGCATCCATATTTTATGTACGAAGATTAGTTTATTTTGGCACAACTCTAAAAGTGTGGACACCCAGAGGATCAAACTCACAACAGACTAGCATGGCGGCCATTTCTCTTCTCGTGTCTGTTATTACGCCACAGTGATTCTTATCTTTTATTGTTTTTAGTTATTTCCGTTTCGATTTCTTTCTTCTTTTTTTCTTTTACATTTATTTCTGTCATGTTTTGTTCGTAAGCCCTTCACGACGTGATGGAAGTGTTCTTAAAGAATCGGAAAAGTGTTTGCCTCTGGAGTCAAAGGTCCGTCCGACGAAAATATTGGTCAAGCTGAATTTTGATTCAGTTTTCTGTGTAATTTCCACTATTACGTTTATAAACAATATTTTTTGGAACGATACCGGAAGTTATTGATGATTTATTTGGCCTTTGTTCATATTTCGAACCTTGAAAGATCACCCCATTCAGTTGATTAAAATAATTAATATTAATATTAATAATAATAATAATAATAAAAACTGATTTTAAGTGATTAAAAAAGAAAACGGTTCGTGTCTATAATAGAAAATTAGAATGGTGAACTTGAAGAGAAATTATAATGATGATAATGACTAGGATGAGAACATTATATAATGTTGAGTTTTAAAATGTTTATTTGACTGACTTAGTTTTATTTTTGTTAACATCGTTGCCTCCTTTTCAATCCGAGTTTATCACCTCCATTTTCCCCCTAAAATAATTTCACAAATGTCAGAAGAAATCATTTAAAAATTCGCTTTTTAAAGTTCGAAAAAAAAAAAAAAAAAACAGGTAGACAAACCGTGATCATTGTCTTAATAATTTTACTATTTGTCAAATGCCTTTTCTTGTTCTTTTAAGGAAATGAAACGTTTATAAACAATTTATTTGTTAATTATATTTTTGAATAATAATAATAATAATAAGAAGAAGAATAAACCAAGGGTAAAGAATGATGGACTGCCTTGGCGTTGAAAGAAGAATGCGCATCGACTGAAAAAAATGCTTGTTCATGGACTGAAGGAAAAATGCTTTAAGGTTCCTTTTAGGAAGAAATTTTATCGGCATTAGAAAAGAATACCCGAGAGAAAAAAAAAGCTCAGAAAATAATTGTCGTGAAAATTAAAGCGTAAATAAGGAAAAAATAAAACATCTACAATGGAATAAATAAATAAATAAATAAATAAAGTTAATGATTGAAGGGCCCACATAACCAAATAGTTTTGTTTTAAAGAAAGCTTGAATAAATACAGACGCAAATGAACTAGAAAAAATAAAAAAAAATAAGATAATAATAATAATAATAATAATAATAATAATAATAATAATAATAATAATAAATTGTGAGTGAAGGGAGGGGGCAAGAGAAAAAGAGAAAGATTTGATTGAAAAGACAAAAATGGTTGCGTTTTGCTTTTGTTGTTTTCAAAATTGACAAGAATGATCAAAATCTGCATTGGTTAACCGCGATTGCAGACGATTGCAAAAAAAAAAAAAAAATAGCGCCGAAGCAATGGCGCCATTTGCAATGATTTAGTATATGCAAAATGGTGGAAGATGGGGGATACAAAGGCTTAGCCTGTATCAATCAGATGTGATGGCACGGACACCAGTAAACTTGTTCATGTCAGTTTTTTTTTCTCCTTTTTTTAAAATTGTAAATCATTTTCACATTTGTGAGAAGTTAAAAAAAAAAACAACATTTTTTTTTTTTAAAATCTTCCTCTGGGTTTAGAGTTTACACGAAAGGTCCCTTCGCATTTTATATAGATTTATTTTTTTTTTTTTAATCTTTCTGCATATATATATTTTTTAATTATTTTGTGTTGTTTTTGTTTTTCTTTTTGTTTTCGCTCATTTTTTAAATTTTTGTCTATCAACCGAATCCAGTTACTACCAAGTTCTGCCATTCAAAATGTAGGGGGATGTTCCATTGAGGCTCGGATTTGGAAACGCTAGTCCGTGGTGCAAATGAGACTGGGCCATGTTACCAGCATTCAAACTGGTTGTACCCAGACCGGTATTACTTGTCTGCTGTTGTTGTAACTTCGACACAGATGTAGCAACATGTTGGGGCACCTGCAGTGAGGCGCTGCCATTTCCAGTAGAACCCCCAGATCCTGAGTTCGAAACCTGGTGTCCTCCGTGCCCTCCGGACTGTTGCTGTTGGCTACTGCTTCCAACTGAAGTGCCCGTGTTCTGACACTGAGAGCTGTCTCCTCCACTACCCGAGGTGCAGGGTTTGCCGTCTTTCACCAGTACCGGCACGGCCACTCGACGGGGTGACGACTGACACCGGTTTTGTACTGTTTGTTGTTGGTTTTGGTTGCCTTGCTGTGTCTGAGACTGTTGTTCCATCTTTTCTTTGTCTTTCTGCTGGCGTTTACACTTGTAGCGATGGTTTTGGAACCAGATTTTTACCTGAAATATAAACCAAAAGGATACACATTAATACTTGTTAAAGTGACTTTAAAATATATAGGGACTAATGTTATTAGGTTCTTCAAACTGAAATTAACAATTTGAAACTTGAGATTTAAATTTTTTTCTAAATTTAAATAATTTTTCGAAATTAAATTCATATTTAAACTTAAAATTTAATTGATATATATCGTATTAAGTGTAAAATAGTATTATATACACCCGTGTGCAAATTAATTGAAACAAAACGAATAATTCTGTTATTATTTACATTTTGTATTTTTCCAATGAAACATGAACCAGTGCACGTGTTAGTATGTCCATTCCACGAAGTCGTTCCTTGGAGATTGACCAGAGATTCTTGAATGGATTTAAATCAGGAGATTTTCCAGTCCAGTCTATAGCACTTTGATTTGCTCAGTGCTAAGGGTTGCCAGTGTGTTCGTGTAGCGTTACAAAACTAAAGCGGTTGTTTCAATTAATTTACACAAGGATGTAAAAGATTCTTTTTGTTCTCTTAGCTATGTTCTAACTGCCTTTAATCACGTCATCATAATCATTAGAAAAATTGAAAATACAACGCAGATAAAGCAACATACACCCTTGTACAAATTAATTCAAACAAAACGAATAATTCCGTTATTATTTACTTTTATTCGTATTTTTTCAATGAAACATGACCCAGTGTACATTTTAGTAATTCGTATGTCTATTCCACGAAGTCTTTCCTTGCAGATTAACCACAGATTCTCGATTGGATTTAAATCAGGAGAGTTTTCAGGTCAGTCTATAGTACTTTGATTTGATAACTATTTTAGCTTGCCAGTGTGTTCATGCAGCGTTACAATTTTCGTATGTTTTCCTTGGAGTAACGTCCATCGCAGACAATGGCTTTAGGACAACTAACCGACAGTCGAGACAATAGTATCTGGCCGTCATAAAAATCTGATGCAATCAAGGATGACGCAATATTTTTCAAGGCCAAAAATATTTCATCATACACCCCGAAAATAGATTCATATTACTGCATACCAATGCAAATGACTTAATCTGAGGAAAAACAGAAATCGATTACACCCTGTCACTCCAGTGGGTCGTAAACTGACCGTATGGTGAAAGAAAGGAAAATAAAGCGGTGGTTTCAATTAATTTGCACAAGGATGCAAGTATGTAGATATATAACTATGTATTTTGAAAAAAATATTTTAATCGCCTGCAGTCGCTCTCTCACAGACGTGCTGTCGCCTCCCTCTGTCTTTTTTATAAATACTTTCACGGTAATTGCTCCGATGAGCTGCTTTCGCTGGTTCCCAGACTTCATGAATTTAAGCGTTCTACTAGGCCGGCATCTCGCTCTCAACCTTTCACTGTCGAAACTGTTAAATGTAGCCGTCTCTTCTACTCCAATAGCTTCATGTCTCGCACTTCTCACCTGTGGAACTCCCTCCCCTCTTCCTGTTTCCCTGATAGCTATAATCTCAAATTATTCAAATGTATTGTAAATCGACGTCTCCAGATGCCTTGATATATCCCCTTATCCTTCTCTTCCTCCTTTCCTCTATCACTCCTATTTGCTCTAGATCCAACTCTCTGTAACCCCTTGCGTGCTAGTGGATTCCCGCTTTGCTTGGGGTGAAAAGCTTAGAAAAAAAAATTGAATTTTATATGTTGATTGATTTATTTTACAGTTTATAATCAGTTGAGGGTCAAATAAAACTGAAAAATATTTTTGCATTTTAAGAACATTTCTCTTTTGTTTTTGACGATTGAATATTGCATTAACAATTATTTTTTTTTAGATAAAAATGACTTGTTCAGCTGCAAGTACTATTTAAGAAGAGAGATGGTTTCATGCATTTCCCAAAAACTATTTACGTGTATATGAATGTCTCAGCTGGAATTCGAACTCGGCTCTCTAATTACTCTTTTTTTACCGAGCCGCTACTCATTACACCACTTGCACACCCACTGACATTTTATGAGCATATTTTTAATTGAAAGTTTGTTTCTAAATTAGTTGATTTCTCAGTGAAAATTGTGTTTGATTCCAAATAGAAATATGAAAGTCTTATATCAAGTTTTCTCTGATTCTTGCTCTCTCTTTTTCTTGTCTCCTATATATATATATATATATATATATATATATATATATATATATATATATATATATATATATATATAAAGGCAGCACGGTGGAAGTAATGGATTGAGGAATCGGAAAGCCGAGTTCGAATTCCAGTTGAATACATTACATTTACTTACGTGAAGTAATACTCTTGGGAAAGGTATGAATCCTCTTCTTCTTCCCCTAACTATAGGTAAATAGCAGGACGGACTGGGTTCTATAGCCTTGGATCGTAACTGGTCCAGAAGAAGGACAACTCTGAATTCAAAACCTGCGGAGGGTTGTTTGAGTGCTCCAGTTCCCTGTGTTTGTCTTTTCAAAAAATGTGATTGGTTCTACACAAAGCCTTCACCACTATAATCAAATCATATGTGCAGGTGTCTGTCTGTCGGCTCCTAGGAACTGAGTTGCTTTACCCTCATACGTCGATAAATCCCGGGAGAGTCCAGCACACACACACACATATATATATATATATATATATATATATATATATATATATATATATATATATACACATACTAGGTACAACAGAAAATTGTCCATCTCGCAAAATGTTTAATATCTAAAAGCTACTAAACTAATTGAGTTTCTTTTTCCAGGTTTTCAGATAAGACGTCTAGCCATCTTGACACCATTTGTCGTAAGAATCACTGCAAAACCCTTTGAGTTATTTAGCTAGAAAGGTTAAAATCGTTTTGTGGCAGCCTCACTATGTCTTCCCAACTGAGCAATGGTGAGAGGAAAAGATCATTCAAGCCTTCAGTTATGGTACCATCTTCAAAGTCCATTCAAGAACAATCAAGAGAACGGTGAATAAGTTTAAAAAAGAAGGAAAAGTTGAGAGCAAAACTGGATCAGGAGGTTACAACAGCAAGAAGGACCATTATTTGATCTTAGTGTAAAAGAGATCAACTAGAAAAGATCCAACTCAATCCAAAAGACGTTTGGCACATGAGAGAGGAGTTTCAGTTATGACAGTCGAAAAAGCAATGAAAAAAGACTTGAAAATAAAATCGTAAGTAAAACCTTTGAGGCACCTTATTACTCCAAAACAGAAAGTTAGAAGCTTAGTGAGGGCGAAGATCATCTTGAATAAGTTGGAAAATGATCCTGGAATATATATATATATATATATATATATATATATATATGATCTTTATTTCAATCTTTCATGAACTCTCGATACTTAGCTAATTAATGAAGAACATGTCATTTTCGTTTATGATCGATTTCATCATAATTCTTCTGTTAAGCTTGGAGAATAATTATACATTCTTATTGCTCAAAGTAGAGTCCAATAGTGTAATAAAAACCTCGGAGAATTCCAGTAAGATATCTTTAATCATTTCTAAGATACAACGGTTCAAAGCTTAATCTAACAATTGGATAATTTTGCTGTTACACGATTTGGAAAATTTTGCTGTTACGTCCGGTATATTGGCAACAATTGTTCTTGTGAATATGTCTTATTAAATAAGAAGAGACTTTTTGTACCTATTCAATTTATTGATCGTTTTTTATTGTGTCCAAATAATATCTCTCAAATATGGTTGCTATGTGTAAAATACCCGAAATTCATATTTTGCCCAAGCTTTCGATATATATATATATATATATATATATATATATATATAAAAAAAGTTTCAAATTAAAAATTATAATGTTTTATTTTATGAAAGTATTTATTTATTTATTTATATATACTTTCATAAAATAAAACATTATAATTTTTAATTTGAAACTTTTTCTATATATACATATTAAGAAAGTATACGTGGCTTCTCATTATGCTATATATATATATATATATATATATATATATATATAAGACTTATTAAATTTTGTATTTTTTTAATTTTCGTATGTGATTGTGTATCTCACGATGGAAAATGTAGATAAAATGTACGAAGTTCATGTTTGTTTTGTTGTTCTTATTCAAATCCTTTCGACCATTTCAGTCATTATAAAATAAAATAAACTCAAAATAATTAGCATAATATTTGAAGCATTCTTTTTTGGGCGTGGTCTCGCCCGCTTTAACCGTTACATATAACATCACCTTGGACTGATTCAAACTTTCAGCTCTCTAATCTCTGAAATTCCGAGATGTAGCCAACGGAATCTTGCCTAACACACTGACAGCACATAGTTCCTGATAACGAGCAAGTCGTTCGAAAGTACTTAAACCAAAACAACAGAACAACTTTGAGCTTCGGACAATTTACCCACAATTTCGATTTGAATACCGAAAATATTCGAAAATTGGAAAAATGCATTAAAAACAATTTCTTCTCTCGCACTTCTCACTTGTGGAACTCTCTTCCGCATTAATGCTTTCCAGTTTTTGTTTTTGTTTTACGGTATATCAACCTCAATCGGTTATTTAATGCCGACAAAATTTTTATTGCTGGTAATATGTTCTTCGTCAAAAATCTATTTCTGGGAATATTTTTCCTTGAGGAAATCTATAGCTGTCTGTCTGTCTGCCTGTTTCGTTAGTTAGTTCTTTCTTTCTTTCTTTCTTTCTTTCTTTCTTTCTTTCTTTCGTTCTTTCTTTCTTTTTTTTTCCGTCACTAAAACCAAACAGCGTCTTTGATATGACTTTTCCGAGTCCATTTTTATGAGCTATCATACGCGCCAACTAAAGAACGAAGCGGCACGCCGAATTATTAGAAGACAGTTTTAATGATCTAAATATAGCGATCAAAACGGAAGAGTTCATTATTATGGAGGTATTGGCAGGGTGTTTCTTCCGTTCTTTCTTTTATTCATTCATTGTTTCTTTCTTTTTCCCACTGTAACCAAACAGCATCTCTTTTCCATTTTTACTCGTGATCAAAATGGAATAGTCCATCATTTATGAACTATTGGCAAGGCGTAACGCTCGTGCCAACGGACCAACTAACAAACAGACATTGTCCGTCGATTTTAATAAAACATTTTTGCATGAATACTTGCCGCCTAAATGTACCTCTACCTATGTATATGTCGATGCATCTTCCTACACACGTATGTTTCTTTCGATGTTCATATTATAAAATGCTCACCCAAACAATACAAAGCAAATAAATAAATATAATAAAATTTCCGCCATTTCTCAGAATTAAAAGAAAATGTTTCTTGAAATCGAGGAAATTAAAAAAAAAATGTCCTTTTCTTCTTTTTTTTTTTCATTTTCATTTGAATGTTTTGTTTACAAACATGATTTTCAACGGCGATAACGTTTATTTCAGCTGTGCGAGCGACCCTCCCCCCATTCCTTTGCCGTACGCGGTTTCAGTAATGGCGGTGGGTGGGTGGGTGAGTGTTATGTTGGGGTTTCGGGTGGAGTATGGTCGGGTGGCGGAAGGATTTCGAACCAGCAAACAAGTGGAATCCTTTGTTTGGACACTTAAGTGGCAAGCTTGGTTACAGCGCACCTGACTATATTTGTGCAGTGTTTCTGTTGAGTCGTCCGCGTTGGCCGGTAGTTTGTGCGCGTGGGTGGTGGGGGCGGATAACGCACTACCTCGACCCCCAACCCACTGACAGTGACCATCACCTGCCGCAAACACATAGCAATATCTTACCACCCTACACTCTCTATATTGCATATATATTAGGTTGATGCACAAGTTTCCAGCGATACCTTTTGCATGAGGTTAGCGAAATCCTAGAACTACCAGTGAAGTTTATCCAGAGCATTATTGCTAGTGAAACCAGTAAACTGTTTACAAAGGCTTAGGAGGAAATACAGAAGTAAGAAAAATAGGATTCCCATGGATTTATACTAAACTTGCACATGCCGGGTAGGGTTTATTATCTCTCAGTTGCGTCTCTGTCTTCGGGCTGAGTGAGACTCAGTTTCGCCTCTGTCTTCGGGCAGAGTGCGATTCAGTTGTGTCTCTGTCTTCGGGCAGAATGCGACTCAGTTGTGTCTCTGTTCGCGAACAGAGACACAGCTGCCCGAAAGACGAGGGATCGGTAGCCATACCAATGCCAACACAACTGACAGTTGCGGTGATTGGCAATTTTTGTCCTTGTCTAGGGTGTAGGCGCTCGGGTTCCCCACGTTAAACCCGTCCATGTGACACATCCTGTCTCAGTGGGGAGACCAGGGTAAATAACCATGGATTTACGGTAACAAACGTCGGTCAGCGTTTAAACATTTATCTTTCTCTTCTTGTTTCAAAGAGAAAAGGTTATTTTGGAGCGAGACAGACACTGGATTTTAAATAAAGGATTTTTACCAGAACCCTAAAATGGCAAATAAATAAAGGCGGGTTTCGGATTTTATCCTTTCAATATTAGTGACATTTTCTCTGTATTATTATGCAAATTGAATAAAATTCGAGGTTGTAAATTACCTATACTTGGATCAACTGTTCTTAGTCAGCACGGCGATGAGCAACTGGTTTGTTAGAATTACATTTGCAACAGCAGAAAAGAATGGGAAATCAATTGAAATTAAAAACGAAGCGTTTAGCCGTCTAACGTGAATCTCGTTTTGTCGTGATAATGTAGATTTTTTCTTATGAAATAACTTTTTTTCTGATAATGTCGGTTCATCTGTGAAGTATGTCAAAAAAGAAGTTTTCCATATTGTCTTATATATATATATATATATATATATATATATATATATATATATATATATATGTGTGTGTGTGTGTGTATTCGAACTCGATCCGTTATCCATTACCCCATCCGCAAATTCAGGCTTACAGCACCTGGTATTCCTAAGCGTTTACCCATCTAGGTACTGACCGAGCTCGACATTGCTTAATTTCGATGATAGAACGACAACCGGTGTTTCAAAGTGATATGGCCGTGAGCCAGATCCTGATATGAAATATTGTGGCCGTGTTCATAACTGTTGTTATTAAAGGTCGGTTCTCCTTTTTATTAATAATTTTAGCTTATATCACTTTTAAACACTAAAAGAAAACACTTGTACACAGACAAGAAAAACATAAAAATTAAAAAAAAGCATAATGTCAGTCGTATTCAATGTAACATGTATTAAAGAGGGACTGCTACCAATTATATATATATATATATATATATATATATATATATATATATATACATATCAAAACAATGTTAGGAAAATCAATAACAAAGTGTAAATTTATTTTTCTTGCAACAAGTTTCGTTCCTTATATCGTTATGCCATATATATATATATATATATATATATATATGGCATAACGATATATAATTTTGCATTATTTTATAGATTAACAAACAGTATTTAGAAAAAGATTATGACAAATTAGGAACAAAAGTTTTGTGACGAGTTTCATCCATTACATTTCAGCGGGATGAGCTTTGTTGATGTTGAAACGAAAGATGCTGGTAGTTTCAAAATTTTTGAAAGAATATTTTTGTAATTTGCATCCATGATCTTACAGTATATCACTATAACAGTTACTTTTAGTGAATACACGTAATTGAGTAGATATTTTTTACATAGTGTATTTCAACGTCTACATGCTTGTGCATTTGAGAGTTTTAATAAAGAAAATGTGTTTTTCAGTACGAATCGAACCTGCATCCCCTGTATATTGCGGGAAATACACCTTCGGGCAAGTGTGTATTTGACCGACCAGTCATGAAAGACTTCACAGCAAAACATGGTTCAATTACACAATTTAAGAAATGTATATATTTATTTACATACGAATTTCTCTCTTTATACATAGATGTGGACAAATACAAAGAACTATACACTTGATATGAAGAATTGTTGAAGGGTTTTGGACCCGATTCATTTTCCAAAGTCTGAGCAAATATCAGATCAGATATCAGGATTCGTTTCAAAATCTCGTCTCGGTCAGTCTGAGGATGTTTCAGTAACAATTCGGACATTAACACATAAATACACCGATGAGGTATATGAGAATAAATAAGTTAAGTCTTCAAGTAATGTAGTTTCTCATTCTTTGGTACAGTTCTTTGTGATACTGTGTTGCCAAGTTGGAAGAAGGCTAATCCTCTCTAGGACCGACAGGATTCACTCACTCGAGGCATTTTTAGCCACTGATCTGGGTTGCATACAGTTGACGGTTTAGATATTTCTGGATGAGTCTGATGCCATCCACAGGAAAGTCTCGATTTGACGAGGCTATTTAAGAACATGACTCGAGTTTCTTGGTTGATGTTTTTGGTTTTGCAGCAATCTGCAGTATTGGGCGAAACTATATTGATGTAAGAGACTTTTTGTGTTTTTCGTTTGCACCAAAATATCCGAGATAAGAAATTACAGTATGTCTACTCATATTTTATCATTAGCACATTATAAATGATTGCCTTGATAAATATCATTTAAAAAACAGAACCCCTTGAAGAATGAACATTACCAAGAAACTTCGAAGTCGGTGAAAACAACAAAAAATTGATATTTAAAGTGAAGTAATCTTTTTACGTAATATTATTAATTGTCTATTTTTAATATTATTTTAATATTTTTAATAATGAACACCATATATAAAATATCTGCTCTTTCTCAAATCTTCATATATATATATATATATATATATATATATATATATATATATATGATAAAAATATTGTTTTAAAGGTATATTATATTTATGTGTTGAAGTGCTCAATAACAGTGATAGACCGTATGTAGATATAAATGAACACTGAAGACAGTCTGTTTCATGCTGAAATGCAATCTTCAGGTCCTGAAAATTACGAAGTGTTGAAAAAAGGGCCTGGAGAATCTGATACTCACAGGTCGAAGAGAACGAAAAAAAAAAAACAAAACAAGGGAAAGCAACGCACGACATACCTGGCGGGCTTAAGCAAGGGGATAACAGAACGTGGTTTGGTGGAGGTGGCAGAGAGACGAAACGAGCTACTAGGGACAGGGGTAAGTGGAGAGCCATGATCGCCTACATTCTGAAATGACACGGCACTTAAAAATTAAAGAAGATATACTTCAATTTTCACTTGTTTTCGGTCCGAATAATTGTTTTCAAAAAAATCAGACATCAAAATTTTTGTGCCTGTGGGAGGGAGAGGAGGGGGAGGAGAGAGAGGGAGGGGAGGATGGAGAGGAGGGGAGGAGGAGGGGAGATCAGGCTGAGAATTTTTCTCCACCGCATCATATACATTATGCTTATATAGGTGAATAAAAAAATGGATTAAGAAAGAGAACGTTGTCCAGAAATTGACCCCACATGATGGAATAGGAAGATTGTAATGCGCCAATCTTCCAAGTGGGGATGGCTAACTTCTAAATCACATCATGGGTTTCGGAAAATCATTATAAAGGAGAAAATGGTCCGAAACGCCGTTCTTTTTCTGTGTGTCGCTTTAGAACGTTGAGGTCATGGCTCTTCACAATTTCCCGTTCTTTTCGGCTCTTTAATAACTTTTTGTCTTTTTGCCATCTCTCTCAAACCCTGCACCGGAATTCATTCGCTCAATTTCGTCATTTTGTTTTTTTTTATATATAAATGTATTTGGCCAATATAAGGCCTAAGAGCCACTCAAATTAGAGGGTTATTGTGTGGAGTTGTATTAGCGTAGGAAAGGACAAGCGTTGGTAGTATAGAGCTGAATTAAACTTTAGAAGGAATCGGAAACACAATGCTAAAACAGGGAACAACGGATAAACCTCTACTCCTGTTCAAAAGACCTGGGAGGAGCATGAACCAGGCGATAGGCGAACTTAGTTAATACTATTAAAGTTAGGCTGTGCATTGTTTTCCTTTGTCCCTGTTACCTTCAATCAGCCCTGTGAGTATCACATTTTCCAAGTCGCCTTTCCTCATTATGCGACCAAGACATTTCAATAGTCTCTACCTGATGTTAAGCAAAAGTGACCCTTTTGTTGCCATTATTCCTGTTAAATTAGTACCGTGACCTTCAGCGAACTCGATACGTATTTCGGTTATGTATGTGTACGACATATCTACCTAAGTAAGTAAAGAACATAGAAGTAACTAGTTAGAAAAAAAAAAAAAACCCCAAAAACACTGTTTTCCATAACTGAGGGAGTCGATCAGGGACAGGGAATCGTGCCTTTATTTTTTTTGTAATTTTTTTCTTTTATTCTCTTTCAGAGAGTTAGCCTGAGTTTATAAATGAAAAAAAGACAGGAGAAGAAGAAGCGCTAATTATCAAGTACGTTCAATGCTTACAAGCACCAGTGTTTGCTCGTCCATGCTGACACTGGAGTGTTTGTATATATACACGCTTATGTATTTTGGCGTGGGCTGGATCACGAATTCTAAGCGAACGCGCGCCCGCATGTGCGTGTATGTGCATGTGCATTCGTGTGTGTGCGCTGACCGAGCAGACAGACGTGAGTGCGTGCGTTCGTCAATGTGTGTGTATGTGCCCGCGTGTGCATGCATAATATTGGGATTCAGTTGAGGATCTGTGTGTGATATAAGTGAGATATCTATCTATCTATCTATCTATCTATCTATCTATCTATCTATCTATCTATTAGTTTCTGCCCATCTATCTATCTATCTATCTATCTATCTATTATCATCTTAAACCGAGCACTATTTTGTTAGTATAAGCACTCAAAGTGCAATATTTTATATTAATATACATATATATATATATATATATATATATATATATATATATATATATATATATATCCAAGTATAGAATTGGTGCACACGGAATAAATTCCAATAACCAACAATTAATGTTCTTAAAAGAGTTCTCAATATAGAATAGAGCAGATATAATTATTTATTTATAAATTATAACATAAATATGTTATAAAATCACTACAAAAATAGCCATTTTGCTTCAACACCTCTGGTGTCTTATCAAATGATGATGTTGAATGTAGAATCTATCTAAACATATTTATGTTATAATTTTTAAATAACTATATATATATATATATATATATATATATATATGCACGTATGTATGTATGTATATATTTAATATAAATATATATATATATATATATATATATATATATATATATATATATATATATATATATTATATATATAATATATATATATATATATATATATATATATATATATATATATATATGTATGTATGTATATATTTATGTATTAATAAATATATATATATATATATATATATATATACGTATGTATATATATGTATGTGTATATGCGCGCGTATACATACAGGGGGACGCAAAAGTAGGCATACACGAATGAAAAAGCGTGCGTATTATGTTGATTATGCGTACATATTAATAATAACATTTACTGTATACCTACTTCCGCATATATATGTATGCATGTATGTATATATCTGTATATGTATGTATATATATATATGTCTATGTATGTATATATTTATGTGTATATATATATATATGTGTGTGTGTGTGTGTAAAGGTAAAAGACAATAGGAAAAATGTATTAGCCGACGCGTTTTGTCCAAGACAAAAAATGAAATGAATTTCTTAAAAAAAAGAAACTATTTATCAACAAAATAAAATGTCCTTAGTAACTAGGATATATATATATATCACAACATATATATATATATATATATATATATATATATATATCGCAACATATATATATATATATATATATATATATATATATATATATATATATCACAACTATATATATATATATATCATTAATTATGACAGACAAGGTGCTTTGATTAAGTTTTTATATAATTTCAAACCAAAGCACCTTGTCTGTCATATTTAATGAAGCTTGCATGAAAGAAGGATTGCTGCCTAAACACACACACAATATATATATATATATATATATATATATATATATATATATATATATATATATATATATATATATATATATATATATATATATATATTAGACAACCAGATACTGAATAAGCGGCTCAGATTGAGCAATCGAGAGCGAGTTCGAGTTCCAGTCGAATTCATTATTTTCACTTACGTGCTAATACCCTTGGGATAAGTATGAATTCTCTTCTTCATTGATATGGTTACTCACTGTTTCCCTCTTGTCTTCTATATATCCTGTGAGTGTTGAATTCACCAAACCCTCTATCCTTATCATGTTTTCCTGAAATTTAAACTGTCTCTTTCTAATTCTGTGATTTGTTTTTCCATTTTCCTTACTTTCCTTAGTCCCCCTTCACAAAAAATGAAAACCCTATCCCCTAAGCCAAGGGTCGGTAACCTTTTGCTAACTCTGTGCCGACTTAGGGTTTTAAAATCATTCAGTGTGCCAACAGCATACGTATTTTTATACAAGTCAAGGTCCATATATCTGTTCTACAATATGTCTTATACTAGCAGCATGGTCCAGCGTTGCCCGTGCTTGATTAAAAAATCATACGACTCATACAGCAATCGCTATCACTTGACTTAAAATATTTTTGCCCCTTCCTTGCCTTTTAAAGGAGTGCCTTTGCCGTGCTGATGTTGCTACATGTCTTACTTGCCTATCTCACACTGCGAATTTTTTCTAAGCTCTATACTAAACATTAAATCTGTTATGAAAAAGAACTAAACAAAATGAACACAAAACGATCAGCTTTAAAAGGACTCGTAACTGGAAAACCGAATGAAAAATGAATGTTAACAACAAATACTTTTTTCACACCCAACCCAGTTCTGCGGAATCAAAATCAACGTTGAGTTTAAGCAAGCGACTGAGCCAATTGGAGTAAAGTGCCATGCAGATTTAAATTTTTCCCACTTGTGACGAATGCAGCTATCGATTTTTTTTGCATGCTACCATGCTAACTAACATTCGTGTCAATCAGCTGTTGGCTCTCACGCTGGCCAATAGAATCTCCCCTGCCTATTCGTGGCAGCTATGAACTCTCTCACTCTGGCCAGTACAAAATGGCCGCAAACTACATGAAAACTGCTGTAGAAGCATGGAAAATCGATTATTTCCACTATCGATGGAGTTAGGAAATAAAGTCGGTCTTGGCCTTCCCACTAACTTGGAGCATGTGCATGTAAATTTTGGTGCAAATCCGTTGAAAATTGCAGTCGTTAGTCACACACACACACACACACACACACACACACACACCTGCCGTAAATATATATATATATATATATATATATTTCTGTAGTTCAGTAGTTACTAGCAGGCAGAAATTTTTTTTTTCCTGATGATGGCCATGTTGGCCGTAACTAGTCGAGGAATCTAAGTGAAATAATAATAAAATAATAATAATAATAATAATAAAAACGAAAAAATATTAATATACAACCCAGTGTGTCTGAAGATTCTAATTTTTTAATATTTTTTATTGTTCAAAACATATATATATATATATATGTATGTATGTATGTATGTGTGTGTGTGTGTGCATGCGAGACGTCTAATGGTATGCATTTATAAACACAGAATTGACCTCCATTGTGATAATCCATTAAATTCTTTAGTTCCTCATAGAAACAAAATCGCCCATGATTTTCATTTTAAAAATATTATCTTAACAAAAACAATAAACAAACAAATACATTTACGGAGAAAATACCTGACAGGAATATTAATAATACATAAAACAGAAATAATTGCCAATCAAACACAACTCCTCCTATCACAAATATTCGTAAAACCAATACTTAAAGAGTGTAGGATTCAAATGTTTGCTGATGTATCAAGTTATCACTTCAGGCGTTCGTCATATGTGTCATAAAATCAAAATAAAAGTTACTAATAAAGCCAATTTTTAAAACACACTTAAATACGTTAATCTTTCAAGAAGCAAACACAAACGCTGTAAGACATACACGTGACGTCTCTACTCAACCAATGAAAATAAAACAACAGAATTTAAAATTGAACTATAAAAACGCATCATTTCATTTTCCGGCAAAATTTCTGATGAAACTAAATTGAATAGCGGTACTTATTAAATCTATAAAGCTTTTACTACCTATCCCTTCTTTATTCCAATATATATATATATATATATATATATATATATATATATATATATATATAATATGTGTATTTAGGCAGCAATCCTTTTATTTATACATGGTTCATTAAAAACGACAGAGAAGGTACTACGATTAAGATTTTTATTTAAATTTTCTAGCGTTCTTTTTTACATTTAATTGGGTGCGTGCGGTGTGTGTATATTTTAGTGTTAATCTTTAAAAGATTTTGATTTTATAAGGAAAAAAACACATGCCTGATGATGAATAGAAGACTATTCGTAAGTACTAGCATTTTAACATCAAATAAACTGAAAACTACAGACAACAAGTTTATCGACGAGGATCAAACTCGCACTATGGATGAACAGGATTTTAATGCATATATTATGTTTTCTAGCGATGGATGTCGCCAATAATCGCATTAATACTTCTGATTGATTCTATGTGTGATTATTTCTTTTTATATATATATATATATATATATATATATATATATATTATATATATATGTTGGTGAAATTGGTGAATTGTGTTTTTGGAAATAGTTGGCAAAACATCGGCTAATTGCCAATCGATCTGAGCTTTATAAAATAGTAAATAATAGATATTTCATTATAGTTGGTTCAAATATTTTATAATTTAGTAGATGCTTTATAAATTTATTAATAAAAATTTTCACATTTATCTCCAATGTTATACGTTATTTATATAGACACAAATATTTAAGTAAATGCTCTGCTTATGATAAACAGTATTAACAACATTTACCCACCTGAACGTACGGGAAATTTTCATAGAAAATATGTGTCCTCCGACAGGAATCGAACCTGTATCCTATACGGAACCGTCATCTAGCCTGACGTGCTATACCAGTTTAGATAGAGAGGAGCGTCTGGTTAGCAAGGTTGATTTTTTTAGCTTTTAAACTATAATGTTCCATTATTTCCCTCGAACGCCCATATCTGCTCGAAGCGTATCCAAACATAAACAAATGACGTCACACATTACGAAATGGACAAAGTAACATTAAAATAATTGTCGGACTTTGTCCATTTCGTAGTGTTTGATATGTATTTCTTTATAAACTGGTCAATGATAAACATTGAATTCTATTATCTAGTTCGTATATTTATATAATGTTTTAGATAGAAAATTATTCTTGGAAATAAACAATTTAATAAATAAACTTTTTTGTTGTAAATTGTCAAAAACAAAAAAAAAACGAATGATTCCATTTTCATGTTTGTGTTTTATTAGAATTCTAATAATCGCTTTTTAAAATAAACAATTTTTTTTCGACAAAAATATGAACTTTAATAAGAAAAAATATATTTTAACGTACCATAAACTATAATGCTTTCTTACTTAAATTGTTTAATAGATATTTGTCTGTAGTTCGGCGGAGTAGGTAATGACTGCTTCAGTTACTGTGTAGCAGTAACTACTAATTTAAGACGGAGGATTGGCGCGATTGCGTCTCGATTAAGGGACGAGCCTCGCGAAACGGAGTGGCTCTTGCAGCGTGTCTCACTGGCGATGGTTCGAGGTAATGCTTTCTCCATCATTGCGGCTGGCAGATGTTAGAAAAAATTCTTTATTGTTACGTTGTTCTGGAATTGTCATCAGTGGTCAA